CTGCCAACAAACTGGGATAGATAGATAGATAGATAGATAGATAGATAGATAGATAGATAGATAGATAAAGAAAGAAAGAGACTGAGATAGATAGATAGATAGATAGATAGATAGATAGATAGATAAAGAAAGAAAGAAAGAAAGAATGAAAGAAAGAGAGAAAGAAAGAGACTGAGATAGATAGATAGATAGATAGATAGATAGATAGATAGATAGATAGATAGATAGAGAAAGAAAGAAAAGAAAGAAAGAAAGAAAGAAAGAATGAAAGAAAGAGAGAAAGAAAGAGACTGAGATAGATAGATAGATAGATAGATAGATAGATAGATAGATAGATAGATAGATAGATAGATAGGATAATAAAAAAACTGGGACAGACAGAAAAATAAAAAAACTAAGATAGATAGATAGATAGATAGATAGATAGATAGATAGATAGATAGATAGATAGATAGATAAAGAAAGAAAGAGACTGAGATAGATAGATAGATAGATAGATAGATAGATAGATAGATAGATAGAGAAAGAAATAAATAAAGAAAGAAAGAAAGAAAGAAAGAAAGAATGAAAGAAAGAGAGAAAGAAAGAGACTGAGATAGATAGATAGATAGATAGATAGATAGATAGATAGATAGATAGATAGATAGATAGATAGATAGGATAATAAAAAAACTGGGACAGATAGATATATAGATAGATAGAAAAATAAAAATAAAAACTTAGATATATAGATAGGATAATAAAAAAACCTGGGACAGACAGAAAAATAAAAAAACTAAGATAGATAGATAGATAGATATTTACATGGCAAATGAGAATATTGTGTACCCATCTCACATTATTAATGTTTCTGGGATTAGTATCAAGAGTACTTTATAGAAAAAAACAGGCGCGAAAGGCAATATCTTTTCTGCATGACCCAGAAATGCCAAGGCAAAATTGTAAATGTAAGAATTTCGGATAAAAGCGATGAAACGACGTGAAATATGTCTGCGAAATGTCTGCTTCATCAGTCGGCGTCATACGTGCATGCTGATCACGTTTGACGTCATGTATTCGAATCAATAAAAGAATAAGTCGCAGTTTCTGGTTTTTAAGATACTCTCCTTCCCCATACCACAGACTGCATTTTTTTTATTTTCTTTCACTTTGTCAATTTTATTTCTTTAATTTGGAAAGATGCTGAACTGGAGGTGGGGAGATTTTTTGATGTATTTTTTCTATTATTGCAAACGGAATTAGATAGATAGATAGATAGATAGATAGATAGGAACAGTTTCAGATAGATAGATAGATAGATAGATAGATAGATAGATAGATAGATAGATAGATGAATAGGATAATAAGAAACTGGGATAGATAGATAGATATATAGATAGATGGAAAGAAAAATTAAAAAAATCTGGTTTAGATAGATAGATAGATAGATAGATAGATAGATAGATAGATAGAATAATGAAAAAACTTAGATAGATAGATAGATAGATAGATAGATAGAGATAGATAGATAGAATAATGAAAAAACTTAGATAGATAGATAGATAGATAGATAGATAGATAGATAGATAGATAGATAGAATAATGAAAAAACTTAGATAGATAGATAGATAGATAGAGATAGATAGATAGATAGATAGAATAATGAAAAAACTTAGATAGATAGATAGATAGATAGATAGATAGAATAATGAAAAAACTTAGATAGATAGATAGATAGATAGATAGATAGATATAGATAGATAGATAGATAGATAGATAGATAGATAGATAGATAGAATAATGAAAAAACTTAGATAGATAGATAGATAGATAGATAGATAGATAGATAGATAGGATAATAAATAAGTGAGATAGATATATAGATAGATAGAAACAATAATAAAAAACTGGGATAGATAGATAGATAGATAGATAGATAGATAGATAGATAGATAAGGACATAAATAGATAGATTATGCAAATGTGTTTAATAAAATACGTAACGAAGAAGCGCTTGAACTATCAGGTAAGCTTGATTTTTCTGGAAAAGATACTATGTTACAAACGTCATCGGGCACTCGGCCGACCGATTCAGTTAACAAACCTTATCACCCGATTTCTGACGAATACAGCATGTTGCAAACTTAAGCCCGAAATAGGTTAAAAAACTAATATGGTATTATTCACAAGGAATATTTATACTTACAATATCAAAACTAGCAATACAACTGCAAAAGAAGATATGCGTATGTTTTAGAGATTATGTAAAAGCGTTCGATAAAGTGAGTCACAAAGAATGGTTTGGGATGCTAGGTAATCTTGATTTATTCGGAAAGGTTATTAGAATTATCCAGAACCTTTTTTGGGGGAAGCGAATAGAAACTGAATTCAGTAATTCCACAAAAAGAGAAAGACAAGGGTGTATCTTCTCATCAGACATATTCATCGTTTACTTGAGAGAATTAGAAGTCCTGCCGGTGTTCATTATTGGCGGCCATATTTTTTTTTTTTTTTCTAATATTGCATATGTAGATGACACGGTGCCGAGAGGAGAAACATAAAGAAATAATACAGGAACTCCTATAAAATGTCATAAAGGAAAGCGGGAAGAGAGGCATAAACTGTAAGCTGATAGAAAATGGTTGTCAGCAAATGAAGCAGACCAACATGCAAATTACAAATCCGAGATATCAAAATCAAGCAAATACAAACGTTTAAAGATCTAGGACGAGTTTTAAATGAGGAAGTAAAGAGCGACATCGAAATCCGAAGGCTCATTAAAACAGCGGAAGATGCCTTCCAAAAGCTAAGCAAAGCATTAAGAAACAGGTAAATTTCGTTAGAAAACGAGAAAAAGTACTTAACTGCGATGTAATATTAACAACAGCAACAAAGCTTGAGTTGATTTCTTTTTAATGATTTTGTTTGGTTTGTTTTACGGCATATCAACCTCAATGGGTTATTAATGCCAGCAACATTTTTAGGATAGATTCGTATGAATAGAATATGTATTCTTTGGTTTAGATTGGTTTGGTTTATTTTGTTTTACGGCATATCAACCTCAATGGGTTATTTAATGCCGGCAACATTTTTAGGATAGATTCGTATGAATAGAATATGTATTCTTTGGTTTAGATTGGTTTGGCTTATTTTGTTTTACGGCATATCAATCTCAATGGGTTATTTAATGCCGACAACATTTTTAGGATAGATTCATATGAATAGAATATGTATTCTTTGGTTTAGATTGGTTTGGTTTATTTTGTTTTATGGCATATCAACCTCAATGGGTTATTTAATGCCGACAACATTTTTAGGATAGATTCGTATGAATAGAATATGTATTCTTTGGTTTAGATTGGTTTGGTTTATTTTGTTTTACGGCATATCAATCTCAATGGGTTATTTAATGCCGACAACATTTTTAGGATAGATTCATATGAATAGAATATGTATTCTTTGGTTTAGATTGGTTTGGTTTATTTTGTTTTATGGCATATCAACCTCAATGGGTTATTTAATGCCGACAACATTTTTAGGATATATTCGTATGAGTAGAATATGTATTCTTTGGTTTAGATTGGTTTCGTTTATTTTGTTTTACGACATATCAACCTCAATGGGTTATTTAATGCCAACAAGTTTGTTTTTTTTTATTTCTGGTTTGGTTTGGGTTTTTTTACGGCATATCAACCTCAATGGGTTATTTAATGCCAACAAGATTTTTATTGCTGGTAATATTTTCTCTATTCCAAAAAATGTATTAAATGGATTAAAACCTATTTTTACATTTTCATAGTATTTTGATTCCATTTTGGTTGGGGGGTTAACCGTTTGCCCATAGCTAGGACCCCTATCAGGAGCTACCACCCCGGGTCAGGGTAGATCTGGGAACAACAGCAAGTAAGAGGTGCTTCCACGCTTCTCAAAACCTCCTGATCAGAGGCATTGCTGACAAATGTAGTTTACCATCAGACCGAGAATGTTTCTTGAAATGTCTTCAAGAAATCCATCCACAGGCCATAAAATAAAACCCCTTGAAATCGAGATCTCTCTTTACACTTCCAAAACATTGCAAACCATAGTTTCATTCTCTGTCAGATAATTTATGTTTAAATTTATGAGATAAGGAATTATGAGTTAGCTTCAGACAAATATCTTTGTTAAATGTCTCATAATTTTTCTGATAACAATGTAAATAGTTTTATTTACATTTGAACTAGATACGTCTGTTGTATTGTATGATTAATGTTATCAATATCGTCAGTGTCTCCAGCCGACAATAAAAATAGCTTATGGGTTATAATTCTAATGACACACGAATTACATTGTCAAGGAAGTTCAGATGTTGTCAAGCTAAGCATTGTCTTCGAAGTAGTACCTTGAACATCAATAGAGAAAACAGAATAGAAAACTAATATCAGAGGACTGGAAGAAGACAAAGAAAAGAGTACTGAACTGTTACGTAATATCAGTCCTCCTATATGGCAGTGAATGCTGGACAATCTCCTCACAGATGAAGAAGAGACTTGAAGCAATAGAAACAAAGAAAAGAGTACGGAAATGTTACGTAATATCATTCCTCCTATATGGCAGTGAATGCTGGACAATCTACTCACAGATGAAGAAGAGACTTGAAGCAATAGAAACAAAGAAAAGTGTACTGAGCTGTTACGTAATATCAGTCCTCCTATATGGCAGTGAATGCTGGACAATCTCCTCACAGATGCAGAAGAGACTTGAAGCAATAGAAACAAAGAAAAGAGTACGGAACTGTTACGTAATATCAGTCCTCCTTATATTGCAGTGAATGCTGGACAATCTCCTTACAGATCAAGAAGAGACTTGAAGCCACAGAAACAAAGAAAAGTGTACTGAACTGTTACGTAATATCAATCATCCTAGATTATGAAAAACTTCGTAATCCGTATCGGTAGGAGGATGGAATCTTGAGAGTTCAATGTAAATCCCGAGCTAATATATATCTGTTCATGCCTATTTATCTATTCATGCATTTGTTAATGTCTGCCTGTCTATCTATCTATCTATCTATTCATGCCTATCTATCTATTTATATGTTCATCTCCATATTTTTATCTTTGTTTATCTATCTGTTCATAATTATCTATCTATCTATCTCAGTTTGTCCGTATGTATTTCGTATCTCAGTCTGTTCGTATCTGTCTATCTATCTCAGTCTATTCGCATCTATCTATCTATGAAAAGCTTGATAGACACTCGGCAATAATCGTTAACAAATAAATAATCCCTGACCTTGAGAAGCGAAAGCCATATTGCTTATCTGAAAGAAGGTCCTGCAATGTGAGATGCTTAAGCAATTCACAGTTGATTAGGGGCCCCCCAGCAGTTTGCCGAAAATGTGTAGAAGTCAAACAGGCCGACAGTCAAGAATGGCCAAAAGGTTTAATCGATTTCTTCAAGACTGCAACAATACAAGAGGATTTCCAACAACCAGGAAAGCAAGAGGCAGAGAGACATATCTTGCTCAGTTGAGAGAGAACAAGTACCAGTTCAGGAGCAAATTTCCTAAAGGCTATTGCAGGGACATCATCAAGTCAACATGCTTTGTAGGGATCCAGATTAGAGATGATAGCAGTTTCATTTGCGGTAAGTGCCTTAGAGACTGCCGCTCCAGAGTGGGACTACACAGTCACCTGAGGCGAGGTAACTCCATCGCCTAGAAAAAAAAAAGCGGTACTCTATCGTCTTCCGAGACGGACTGATACCGATAAATGCACTTGATTATTATGAAGATGAATTAGAATTTAATTTTTTTTTATATTATATTTCAATTTTTCACTCCTTTTTTTTTGGATATATATATATATATATATATATATATATATATATATATATATATATATGACGATGGTTGTCATTATTTGACGTAAATTAGATGATGAGGATTTAAATTTTGATTTAATTCCAATATATTTCACTAGCTGTAATTTGTGCTTCCCCCTCCCACTGCTGTTCATTGTGTTGACACGTTGCGTCTTCTTTTTCCTCTCCCCTCTCTTCAATAATATAAATACCTAGATAATTTTTTCTAGGTCAAGCAGTTTATACTTCAGCTCTCTTGGGAGCAGTGACATAACCTGTTCAAACTGTCGAACTCTCTGCCTTTGGGCAGAGAGGAACCCGGACGAGGCTTTGCTGCAGGGCAAAGTTTCGTCCGGGAAGGTAGACAGTCTCTGAACCCGTTTAGGCGGGTTCTAAGGGAATATTTTTGGCGGAGCCTACGGGCTCAGAGAATGCACGGTAAACTCGGCCTTGTGCCACATACATCCCTCGTTTGGGGCTGTTAAATATAGCAGTTTAGACTTTACATCCCGTTCTCTTGTGATTTATTTTAAAAATATTTTTTAAACATATTCTCTGGATAAATTTAAACCATTTTGTAATTTCGGTCTAATGAGGCAGGTATTAAAAACTTAGCTGCTTAAATAAATTTATTGTCGGAGTTTTCGTGATGTGTTAATTTTTTTCGTTGATATATATATATATATATAGAGAGAGAGAGAGAGAGACAGAGAGAGAGCGAGAGAGACAGAGAGAAACAGAGAGAGAAGGAAAGATAGATAGTGTTGCAGCATACCTACGGACAATAATGGATATGTCCTCATTCACATAAATACATTAGTAAATACTGTATGTTGGTCTACAGTTGGAGATTCGTCTCCAGCTATGGGGGTCAAACTCTCTGCCTCCGGTCAGAGAGGATCCCCAGATGAGGCTATGTCGAAGGGCAGAGTCTCGTCTCGGGAAACAGTTACCCGACTCCGTTTTATACGGGGTCTACAAGGAATTTTTGACCAAGCCTACGCGCTAGGATACCCCACATTAAATTCGGCCTTGTGCCGCATCTGACTGCGTGGGGTTGTTGGTAGATATCCTGCAGTTGGAGATTCATTGTGGAAGTCACTTGACTCACTTCCAGATGTTGACTCTTTCTTCTACGCGCCGCTGGCGAATCTTCTATGTGTTGTTCTTGTCCTAAGTATTATCGTTCATTACCAACTTTCGTGTAATTATTCTATTCACTAAACTTCCCTAAGTTACAGCAGATAGATAGATAATAAATAGATCTGTTCATATCTGCCTATAGATCGATCGATCTATACATGTCCATCTGTTTATCCTTTCATAGATGTTCATGTCTATTTCGGTCCATACATATATGTTGTCTTTCTCTCTCTATCCATTTTCGATCACTGTCTGTTCATATCTATCTATCTATCTATCTATCTTAAATCGTTCATATCTATCTCTCGCATTCTGTTCCTATCTATCTGTCGATCTGTCGATCATATACTCTTTATCTATCTATTGATTTTTCTTTCTTTCTTGGCATCTTTCTATCTATCTATGTACTTATCACGTTCTCTTCATATCTATTTATCTATATTTCTTTTTTTCTATCTATTACATTCTGTTCATATCCGTCATTTTGTCTGTCTAAACCCGTTCGTATATATCTTTTATCATTATCTATCTCAG